TCATCCCCCAGGAGGGTGAGATGGGTAGTGGGGAGCCCAAGCCTCAGGGAGGGGGTCAGGGGCAGCTGCCATGGGATCACCATGTGCCTGGCCAGTGCCCCTCTCCTCTCTTCTCTTCCCCGCAGGGACCCTTGGGCCAGAAGGGCTCCAAAGGCTCGCCGGTGAGTGCTGGGGAGGGATGGGTGGGGGGGCAGCTCCTAATGTGCTCCCCAGGGAGAACCCGGGGCCTGTCGCAGGGAGTCAAGTGCTACGGTGCTGAGTCCACTTCTTTTTCAGGGTGCTCTGGGTCCCCGAGGTGACACAGGCCCCCCCGGTCCCCCGGGACCGCCGGTGAGTAAGTGATGCTCTGGACAGGCACCACTTCATGTCTGTCCCCTCCTGGGAGGGCTCTGATGTCCCCGGACCCCCCCTCATCCTACCACCTGGCCCCCCCATCTGCTCTCATCCCTTCTCCCTTCATCCCTCTCTGTCCCAGGGCCGCCCAGCTGAGCTGCTCGAGCCGCTGCCCTCGAGCCGGAGCAGGAGGCACCGGCGGGCAACCAAAGGGGTTCCAGGGGAGCAGGGAGCCCCCCTGGATTACGAGGGGCTGGAGGAGGTGTACGCGTCGCTCAGCTCCCTGCGCACCGAGGTGGAGCAGCTGAGACGGCCCCTGGGCACCCCCGAGAGTCCCGCACGGGTCTGCAGAGAGCTGCAGCTTTGCCACCCGCACCTCCAGGACGGTGAGGTTTTGGGGGGCCAGTTTGAGGGAGAGGGAACACCAAAACCCCCTCCGATGGAGGGGGGGACTTTACATCATGCCAGGCGGTGCCCGCACGGAGTGTCCCTGGCCAAGGCTTGGTCAGAGCCAGCAAGGAACTGGACCATCTATCCGTCTGTCTGTCCTTCCCAGGCGAATACTGGATTGACCCCAACCAGGGCTGCTCCCGCGACGCCTTCCGCGTTTTCTGTAACTTCACAGCCGGCGGCGAGACCTGTCTTTTCCCCGATAAGAAGTTTGAGGCTGTGAGTTTGGGCGAGGGCAGAGAGGATCTGGGTGTCCAAAAACACCCCCTCCCCCAGCAGCCCTCCCAGCCGGGACGTGATGGGGGCAGTTTGGGGCTCACTTTTCCCTGTGCTCTGGGGCGCCGGGGGTTGGAGAGGCTTCACCCCCGACACCGTCTCTGTCACCCCCAGGTCCGACTGGCCGCCTGGAACAGGGAGAAGCCGGGGACGTGGTACAGCACCTTCAAAAGGGGCAAGAAGGTGGGAGCTCCTCATGCTATCCGGCCTGAGGGTGGGGGGAAAGGTGGACCCCCTGCGTGGCATCACCCCGGCCGCTGGGCAGGCGGGTGTCTGTGTCTCAGCCCCTGTCCTGTCTTCCCCCCCCTCCAGTTCTCCTACGTGGACACGGACGGGAACGCCGTGCCTGTGACCCAACTCACCTTCCTGCGTCTCCTGAGTGCCAGTGCCCGCCAAAACTTCACGCTGAACTGCCAGCACGCCGCCGCCTGGTACGATGCCCACGCCGGCACCTTTGCCCGCGCCCTGCGCTTCCGCGGGGCCAACGAGGAGGAGCTGGGGCACAACCACCCAGCTGCCCCCATCCGTGCCCTCCACGACGGCTGCCAGGTGAGTCCCCGAGCCGCGAGGACCCCGAATCTCCTTCCCGTCGCTCGTCCCGCACGCCGTGTCCCCGGCCAACCCGGTACGCCACGTTTGCTGCCTTCCTGCAGGGACGTCGTGGCCAGGAGCGGACAGTGCTGGAGGTGACCTCGTCCCGCGTCGAGTGGCTGCCCCTGATGGATGTGGCCGTCGTTGACTTTGGAGACACCAATCAGAAATTTGGCTTCGAGCTGGGACCCGTCTGCTTCATGGGCTGAGCGCGGCCCCGGACAGCGCGCGGGGAGGGACGGCTTGGAAGGGGGGGGGCTCTCCGCTCCCTCCGCCGCCCCCCGTGCCAGGGACAGTGACCCAGGGCCTGCTCTGGCATACTCAGGACTCGGAGCCGCCGCAGTGCCATCCCCTCCTGCCTGCACAGCCCCCCCTTATTTATACTAACGGCTCCCTGCAGTGGGGGGGGGGAGGAAAGCTGGGGCAGGGTGCCCCAGGCTGTAGGGAGGGGGTTCGAGCCAGCCCCCCCTCCCCGTGGTGCTACAACGCTCCCCGAGAGCCCCCTTAGTGAAGCACTGGACGTGCCCTTGGCACAGCGACGCCGCGAGCCCCATCCCCATGCCTGCGGGGACCGGACGGGCCCGGATCCAGCCCCCTCCCCGGCCGTCGCGGAGCCGGTGGCCCCAGGCCAGGCC